AACACCATAGAAAATTTAACTCTTCAACATATGCAAAAGCCTCACTGCATCTGACACCAATTTGGTACTGTTTCCACCACCAAATTGACTCTGTCACCCTTTTGTCCCATCTGCTTTTCCTCTCCCTGTGGTAATCACCATATTTTTTTCATAGCCTTAGAATTATTTTTGCTGTGATTTATAGTTCATTTTACAAATTACTTTGAGATGTGTCAAAGTATGTTAACTGGTGGATAGTTTACCTGAACACATTATTCAAGAAATTCTGTATTCTGAGGACACTGTGGGTGAGGACTTACAGAAAGTACAGAAAATATTTTTTCATACTTTATTTATTCATACATATTTTACATCACTCTTCACTTCTGTACAATATTTGCTTTCTTTTCTCAGTTGTAGTCTCCATGGAATTTCCTCTACCAATTCACCTGTGCACCCTCACAATAGTCCTCGGTGTTCTTCCCACCCTTGCCTTGATTCCTCGCCCTCCCCCATAGACTTATAGTTGTTTATTTTAGTTTAGTTTTGTTGTATTTTTTATTGTTATTAACTTTTCCCTGATCCCTTATTTGGCTCCCCTATATTCCTCCTATAACTGACACTATTTGATATTTTCTTTTTTCTTCTGACTTATTTCACTGAGCATGATCCCTTTTAGCCCTGTTTTACTGTGAATGGCATTGGTTTATCTTTTTTTGATAAACTAATAGTAGCTGAATAGTATCTCTACCACATCTTCTTGATCCAGTCATCTATTTTTGGGCATTTGGCTTGTTTCTAAGTCTTACCTATTATAAATAGTGCTGCAATAAACATAGGGTCACAAGCACCCTTTTAAATGAATGTTTTTCTGTCCTTTGGGTAGATCCCTAAGTATGAAATTGCTGAGTCATATGGTAGCTCCATTTTTAGTAGTCTAAGGAACATCCACACAGGGCTCCATAGTGGTTGGACCTGTCTGCATTCTAGTAGAGTTCCTTTTTCACCACACCTTGCCATCATTTGTTATTGGTACCTCATTGTGGTTTTGATTTTCATTTACCTGATTATAATGCATGTTGAACATTTTTTTCATATGCCTGTTGGCCAATTAAGTACAGAAAATTGTATTGGAAATTAGAGAAAAGGGAAGCCTGTAGTGTAGTGATTGAAAGTTTAGCAATAAGATTCTTTTATGTGGAAAATAGGAAATATTTCCAAAGCTATGGATAATCTAACCAAAGAGATTTCTAAATAGTGTTGAAGGTATCACCTGATTTTTCTCTTGTGGTTTATAGGACATGCAAAAGGAAGGAAATTAAATTGAGAAAACTGCTAAAGAAGTCAGGATATTGATAAGACCTCAGAAAGAACAAAGTGGTACATGAGAGTACTATTTAGTCACTCAAAGACTCTTTAAGTAAAGGTGGGGTTCTCAGATACCTCAAATTTTCTTTAGGAAGGTGAAGAGGAATCCTGTATCAATTGTCTCATCAGGGTTTATAGTAGGGAAGGATTTATCTGGATAATTTATGGGTGTGACTTCTGTACAATGGAGTGAACCCCTGTAAGAATCACAAGACATGCACCAAATTGTTTAAAGGTAAGATATGTTCAGAAACACCTCTAGTTTTGGGTAAGAGATGTAATGAAATGAGGAAAGGCCTTTGAATCCTAGGAAATCTACTATCAAGAAGCAGGCTGAAAGAGCTGCTCAGTTACAAACACATACTACTTTTATTCAACCGAAAAGAAAAAGAAACAAAAAGGACAAAACAAAGAACATTAAGTGAGAACAATGGAAGAATCTTAAAACCTGGGTCTAAAGCTTAATCAAGTGACTCCCAACACTTTCAGAATGCTGTATACACTTTGCGCCTCCTATTTGAATAGAAATGGCTATAGAATTTATTCTATTCTTGTCCTACCACTCTGTGTTGAGCATGTGGGGGGAGAGAAAACTTGTTTCTTTTGTTTCACTGGCTGAGACAAAATATACTCAAAGAAGTATACTTAGAAAATCAAAGGTAAGGAACCTCAACTGCATCTACACTTGATTTAGAATGTGAAATTCTAAATTTATGGACACTGAGCTCATGCTGTAGTGAAGGAGACATTTGCAAGCCTTGGGAGGGGTGAAATTAATCTGCATATGGGGAGGATCCCTGAGGGTTAGAGTGCAGACAACGGTAGCCAGATTCCAGGATAGCTACCAAAGGCCGCTGTTTCTTGGTGTTTACCCCATCCTCTTGATGTGGACTGGATTTACTGAATGTTTTTAACAGAGTGTGACATAAGTGACAAGATGTCAATTTTGAGTTTAGGTTACAAAAACATTGAGATTTCTGTTAGACCTATCTGTTCTCGCTGGTTCACTCTGGGTTTACTTGGCCAGGGGTGAGGCCAGATGAATTTGTTATAAGCCAACCCTGAGAAGAATCTCATTGAAGAGGAACTGAGATCTCCCAACAACTGCAGGAGCAAGCTTTGAGGAAGACTGGCCTCAGATGAACCTCCAATCCCCAGCCTACAATTTGACAGGCAGCTAAGGAGAGTTGCAGAGCCACAGGGACTAAGCCATGTCTGTGAGGTAACAGAACAGAAACTATGAGATAATGATTTTTTTTTTGTTTGCTGTGAACTACTAACTTTTGGAGCAACTTTTAATGTACCAAGGAACAGAATTAAGACACCAACATGGGAAGTGTGAAGGTAAATCAGAGAGTGGACAGGAAGTTGTCTTGTTTTCTCTTAAAATAGTCCAGCATAATCCTGAAGATAAAGAGTGAATAATCAATAATCAGATAACAAAATCGTAAAGAAACAAAATAGTAAGGAAAGATGAGTAAGGAGGGAAAGGTGAAAGTACTTGCTGAAGACTGCTTTATGACTGAGGCCGATAAAAAGTTAGCTCAAGAAGTCCAGTGTGGTCTCTGAGAGGGAGAGGATGGGTCATGGAACCACTGAGAAGCTACTGACATCATCGAGGCATGAGTGAAATGTCATGAAATCCCTCCTAAGGGATTATGTTCTGGGAACCATAATCACAGTCACTAGCGCTGGCTCTGAAATGACTGATGTTGAAGAGGGGAGAAGGTGATGCAATCGTTAGGAGTAGGGAAATTCATCTTTTATTTTGGAAGCAAAAACTGGAAAAAAAAAAAAAACTGCTGGCACATCTTTATACTCACATTATTAAGCAGGCCAAAGATGGTTATTTAGATGTGAAATGGTTGCTAGAGATGATGTAGTTGCATGGATAAAATAACTTTGTAAAGTTATAAGTATGCTATTTGAAATACTGGCAGGAAGAGAAGCATGGACTTAGTAATAGAAATGTGAGGCCCAATTATGACAAAAGAGGGAATAGCATTTCTCTCAGCAGAATCATAAAGCCTAACTGTATAATACTGCTGGTAGAATAATGCCAGGTAATTCTGATACCAGCATTAAAAGAAAGAAAGAAACCTTAAAAAACAGCAAAGTAAGTAGTTTACCAAAAAATATTTAAATATAACAGAAATTAATTTCTTTTCTTTTTTTAATCCAGGAAAAAAATATAATAACTATTAAAGATAAATACCCCATTACATCTGCCAAATGAGTCAAGTGCTTAACACTGTGCTATGTACTATAGTGAACACAAAAGAAACTTCGATGATTATGCATTAGTTGGAGACTCAGGTTTGTTGTGCCTAACAACTAGAAGAGGATTCAACAAAGGATAGCCTGCCTGGCTGGAAAGTTGTCTTAGGTCAGATGAGGTTCAGGGAAGAGCAGTGGGATCAAGACAATGGAGAGTCTAAAGAGGAGTCAGAGGAACCCTGGGTAATTAGGGGTGGCAAAGAGATGCCAACTCTGAATATCAAGGTGGAGCAGCCTTTTAAGGGGGGGACGAAGGGAGGGATGCTGGATCAGGGAGGCCAAAAGACTTCTGCAGGCAGCAATGTGGGAGCTGATGACTCAGAAGCCGGGGCATAAAAGGTTGAGAAGCAAAGAGTGGTGAGAAAAACTGTGATGAGAGCCAATTATAGAAAAGCTTCTGTAATAGTCTGTGGAAATGTACAGATAAACTGTACTCCCCAGGTACAGCCCGGTAGGGACACCAGGGGCACTATGTGTCCCCCATGAGGCAGAGGGGCACAAGTTGATTTCTGTGTGGACTCTCCAGCTAAGGAAATAAGGCTAGGTTTGGAGAAAGGGGTTTGTGCATTTATTCTGCCTAGCACTTGGATTCTTCAAAGCAATTTGGCAGTGGCATAAATTAGAGGAAGAGAAAGGTGGTTAAAACAGGCAGGAAAACTTTAAGCTTTTGTAATGAATGATTTTTCTTAGCAGAAAGTAGCAACAACATATGACCAGCAAAGTACAGGGAGATTTGGTGAATCCCATTTTCCCCAAGTTGAAAGAGGAAGTACAGGAAAAAAGGGAAGTGGAAACAAGCACAGCCGCAGGGTCTGGTGCACAGCAGCCAGGGTGCCCTGAGTCTGAAGTGTAGCTCTGAGGTGATCAGGCTCATTGTAAAATGAGGTACCTTAGAGTGTGCATGTGAGGACCATGTAAGTCACAGTGCCTTGCACAGTATTTGTGGTGACTGACAAAGTAGTAACAATAAAAAATTCATCTACAGATCATGACTTGGGTAGAAATGAGATCTTGGCAGCCTGCTGGCAGCAAGGCATAGCACTGTAATCATGTGTTGGTGTGAAGGATAATAATATTGCTTATTTTTTGGTTATTTGTACCCAAAAGAGTAAGACTATATTTTTGGTGAAAATGGGGCTAAGACTGTAAGATAGCATTATAAAATACATTTATGTTGTAAAAAATACATTTACATTGTAAAGAAAGTTAGAGAGAAAAATAAACCTTGCTGATTTATAATTAATGAAACAGGGCCTTTTCCAAAGCAGAAAAGGTGAAATCTTCTCTTCAATTCAGCAATAACTGATATTAGTCACAGGAGTGTTACAGAGGGGTAGAAGAGGCTGATTTCAGAATCCAGTAGTAATGAACATCACCTGTTTGGCTTTCTTTGACAGGACAGGAGCTGGAGCTATCTCCTGTGACATCATTTTAGCATCTTGTCCTTCTTCACCATCTGATGCTTCTAGAAAATATAAAGTTAAAAAATTAGGAAAGTGTTTCCGTCTGTCTCTTTCCCACTGCTTGTGCAATCTTGGTACTAAACTGCTAGAAGGTTCTATCCCTTGACTTAATAGTTTTACCTTTAGTGAACTGAATTTAAGGAAAGCATCCAGAGTGAAGAGAGAGAGATGTACCAAGATGGCTAACCAACATCTATAAAAATGTAAACTGAAATTGTCTTTACAACTAACTTTAAAGGATAATTATTGAGCACTCATACTGATTTTACAGATTAATTAAACTCATTTTCAGATCAGAAATTTGAGGTTTGTAGGGGTAAAGCCATTTGCCTCAGGCCTCACACCTGGGAACTCATATCTCTTTGAGTCCAAGGCCCTTCCCGCAAGTAATAGGACTTGCTCTGAGAACCAGCCAGCCCTTGACACCAGGTGTGACCACCAGGGGAATGTTAGAAGATTGTGATAGAGGGATTATATATAATAAGAAATTATTTTAAGATCTTAAATCTTTCAACAATGGAAAAAAAGAAATTCTTACTTTAACTATGAGAAAAAAATAAGTTTTAATAGTTTTTCTGTTTCTAAAAAAGATCTCTTGAAGAAATAGGGTGAACTACTTTGAATTCACATTTAGATTAAAACCTGTTCCACATTTTATACAAGCTAATTCAAAGTAGATCAGAGGATTAATTATAAAACTGTAAAAATTTTAGTGATAAATAAGGGAAATCTTCAGTATTTGGACTTAAAGAGTTCTTAATTTTGCTACCAAAAATATAACATAAAAAGAAGACTTGATAAGTTAGACTTTATTAAAATTGAAAATCTTTCCTTTGCATAGATCCTGTTAAAAGAAAGTTACAAAATAGCAGAAATATTTACAAACAATACATCTAACAAAGGATTAACCAGTGGTATAGAAAATATAAGAAATTCTTCAAATACAAAACAAAATTGAATTAGAAAGTGGGAAAAGACATGAGCAAACATTTCCCTGGAAATATTGGCAAATAAGTACATGGAAATACTTTCTGCATTATTAACTATTATAAAATGCAAATTCAATTTACAATGAGATACTACTATAAGCTTGTAACAACTATTATTAAATAATGCACCAACACCAAATACTGGTAAAGATTCAGCAGAGAAGAAATAAATCAACCCCAAATGCTATTGGGATATTTTCATATTTAATTCTTAATACTGAATTAAGTTTACTTAGGAACACTGACCTTTCTCTGTGTCCTTGGAAGCAGAAAATAAAATTTCCCATGTCAAAGACATCCTCACTGTACCAGGAGGTAGAAAGATGTCCATAATCACCACAGAATGGGAACTCAGGGCCAGAGAGACTGGATAAACAAGACTTGCTACCACTCCCCCAATGTGTACCCCAAGCCAAACATTCCTTTGTCAGTTCTCACAAACATATTATTTGTCTACAAGGAATAAAAGATGCCTGTTTTGGTCACTTCTTTGAGCCTTATATGAAATAAGTTTTGTTTCTCTCCTATTAATCTATCCTCTTTCAGATTAATTATTGGACCAGCCAAAGAACCTATAAGGAAAGAAGTAAAGAATTTTCACTTTCTACAGAGAAACTGTAGTGCTCATGCACTTCTAGTGACAATGTAAAATGACAGTCATTTCCTTTCTGTAAATGGAAAATAGGCAGTTTCTTAAAAAAAAAAAAAAAAAAGGAATCTAACTAACACACAGCTAAGCCATTACACTCGTAATAATTTATCCCAGAGAAATGATATACTTAATACAACAACATTTATCTGAAGAGTTATAGCAGCTTTATTTATTATTTATATTAGCAAGAAATCTTGAATCAACCCAAACGTTTTCATTTGGGTTGAATGGTTAAATACAATATGGTTTATCCAAATCATAGAATACGAATCAGGAAAAAAAAAAAAGAAGCATCCTTGCAGGCATCAGTCTAGATGAATAACTAGAGAATGCTGAGTGAAATAATTCAATCCTAAAAGGTTACATATAATGTGATTCCATTTATGTTCATTCTTCAAACCACAAAATTGAAGAAAACAGCATAGTTAAAAATGGGGTGGGCTGGAAAAGAAGTGGGTCTGACTACAAAGGAGGATTCTTATGGGGATGAAAATGTTCTGTTTTAAATGTACCAATGTGAATATCCTTGCCGATAATACCCTGTGCCTTGGCAAAGGGAGTAATCAGTGACCGATACACTTTCCTTATTGTATCTCTCCCTGTTGTTTCCTAAAAGTGAAATAATATAAAATTATTATATTAAATCTGAAATAATATAAAATTTTTTAAAAAGGTTAATTAAAAAAGGTCTTCAAATCCATCCTCTTCTTCTGGAAGCCCCAAATCACTATGCTCAACAAGTTAAGTGGGTGTGTGGTTGACTGTGGACTAGTCTAGAACATCATCCTACTACTGGGGTACTTCTCTATTGCTGTCCTGGTTGGGAGGGATTATATATAATAAGAGGTGAGGTTCAGAGAACTGCTGTTAACACAGGGAGACCTTGATGGTCTTCAAAAAGTAAAGCTCTGGCAGTAGGGTAGCCACATAAAATACAGGACGCTCCATTAAATTTGAACATTGAATACACTTTTAGTATAGGTATGTCCCAAATACTGCATAGTATACTAAAAATTACGATTTATTTTAAATTCAAATTTAATGGGGTGTCATGTATTTTTATTTGCTAAATCTGGCACTCTCACCTGGGGGATTTCCTTCCCCAGAAAAAGGCCACATTCAATCCTGTTAATTTTCTTATATTGGTTTCTATCTATGGGTCCTACTTTTCTTAACCATTTTCCAACCCATCTTCCTCTGGATCTTTCTAGGAAATTTAAGCTGACCACACAGCCCTCCTTTGTCCTCTTGTCTCTGCACTTCTGCACTAAATGTACCTTGTAAAATAGCACATAATTTTATCCTTCCTCAGAGTGATGATAATTGCATAAGTGCTAGCCTTTTTCTCCATTGTGACTATAAACATTCTGCAGGCACTCATGAGAACTGCAAGTACTTGCTTACAGTTAAGTGGAAGTAAAGTGCATCCCCATATTTGCTTTATTTATGTTTTTATTATAAACGTAATATATATTTTCTCACACCAATCTACCCTTATTTTAGCTTTAAAAATCATTTTAAGATAAAAAGGATAAGGTATAAGTAGTTACCAAAATCAATCCCCCAAAATTCAGAGAGCATGCTCCTTTTAAAAAAATTCCATATTCTGGGTGATTTGTTGATGGGAAGCCCAAAGGGATAACAACTGAGTGGAAAAGTGCACAAAATGGTGTAAAAATAAACTATTGTATTATTTAAAAAAAAATTCCATATTCTTCCTTTGCCCAGAATCTGATAACTAAAGATGAGTCTGTATTTAAGCAATCTACTTGGAAAAAACATATTTTACAAAGTATGTGATTCTTGTGCAACAGAAACCCAACGGAAATATTTAAGATACTTTGTTAAATTTGAGTTACTTCTTGTTCAAAAAAAATATTTAATCTGAAACTTTTTAACATATGAGACTGTTACATTACCATAGGTTTAATATATTAATTGTTTCTTGAGTCTGTGATTTTTTTTGGTTTCAAGAGATAAAAATACTCTCTACAACTCTGTGATTTCCATTAAGAGATTATTGGAAGAACGGTTTGGGGACCCAACCTATCCAGCGTGGCTCTAGTACCCATGTCTTCTACAATGACTGGCATTTGAGGAGGTTAAGCCAGGCCTGTACCACTCAGAACCGTTGGCTTACTCAGTCCAGGAAGGAAAGTCACCAAGGGTCCATTTTATCTCCAATTCTCTAAGAGAGAATTAAAGCAAAAAAAAAAAAAAAAAAAAAA